CTTACCCTCACAGGCTTCTTCCTCGTCGTCGCCTGCCAGGTGGTCGGGCAAAGAATCAGCCAATGCAGCCCTGAAAACCACCAGCTGTCCCTTCTTGTGCAAAGGTTCTGCAGCATTTCTTCGTAGAAGCAACAACAACGGGATGGTAGGGGGCAGATCACAAGGCGTTCGGGGAGCAAATCTTAAGAAAAACGAAGGAAATCACCAGAGCTCTTGCCGCTTGCATCTCGCGGGGTATGATGAGATCCGGCAAACGATACAACCAGAAAAGGCTTCACAAGAGGTCAGTTGTGTGCTGCGTAAACATCATGTGTGGCGTTTACATGTATGCACGAAAGAATCGTGAGGATGATGTACTGCGGTTTCCGCAACACTGTTGATCTTGGCCTCAGGCGCTGCTCATCGTTCACACCCATCTTTTTCTTGTGCCCTACTTTGGTCGAGGCTTATGCCGCACATGAATAGTTATCCTCTCAAACTAAGGTCACTTTGCATCCATCATCCGTGTTTTCCTCCGTTGCTCCAACCACCCTAGTGTTTCTAGATCGTGTCTGTATCCCCTTGGGGCACCCCTGTCGTTTGCCAAGCATGTTCCTCACTACTACCCTTGGAGCACACACGACGAAGCACTCTAAGTCAAGCAAGGGTTCATCCCGTTTCCTAAACTTTGCCGGGGCTTGTTGGAACAACGCACCGAGCAGTTAAACACAAGCCGACGTTGTGGCGGTACTCCTACCTCTTCGCCGTGCTGCTGGTGAGGTCGATGGTCGGTGCTTCGAGAGAGGTAGGGACGGACAGGTCTCTCCTAGTCTCCATCTCGTCCTCATCGATCTGGTCAAGAATATTTTTGGCGTGCAGCATTACGTGTGGAATGATTCCCTGATTGAGAAGGTCGTTCCGGTGCTCTACACCTACCTCCTCAAGTCCCTCCCTGCTTGTCCTAAAGGAAACAGAGGCAGACTAAAAAAAACATGCGGATCGATTGAAACTGCAGACAAGCAAGCAGAGTACGGATCCATGTTTCTGACCAGGCCTTGGCACACAACACACACCTCGTGCGCCGGGATAGGGTCTCCTTCCTCTCGAAGTACGGAGGATTCGTCACCAGCACGTAGCGATCGAATGCCGTCCTGTTATTACGGTCACGGTCACCACAACGGGGGCGGGGAACCGAAGCCGTGTCTAATCTGCGCGGGGTCCTCTTCGAACAGCGGAAAAAAAAAATTGTTGTTCAAGGTCGGGAGTTGTCGTCAGACACGTGCATCCTTGGGATAGTTCGTTGAATCAGCTTGATAGCCCCCGTTCAGAGGTCAAATGACTACCGAACTTTCGGTCGGGCATATCACGTCTTCGGTGTCACTGACTTGCGCTGGCTTGCAAACTATCGTTTCTTTGGAGGTCGACGACGGCAGTTTCAGTCAGAACGAGAGGTTAATCCTTCTGCCTTGAGGCCGGATTGGAGGTTTGTTCCGTTCAGGAGGCAAGGGAGAGGTCTTGCTACACACAAGAAAGAGAGAGGTGAAGACTGTGTGAATACACACGTCACAAAAGCATATCGCGAGGGTCTAGAGGACACCGACGACCGCCGTAGTGAATTGTTGCAGAAGAAAAAAGTCGTGCGTTTCGTTCTCGCCTGGGCGAGGTGCGGGTGCGCTTGACCGCCTGTGCTGGGGATGTGCAGGATCGCCAGGCATGCTGCACAAAGGGCCTCCCCGCAGTCCTCGCAGAACCCGACCGCATTCCGCCGCTCGCACTCTTCGCATAGAAGGTCCTTCGGGGCTCCTTCGGGTACCTGAAAGCGTTGTATTGTAGCCGGTACTCTCAAGAGCTACCAAAAATGAACTTTGCTGCAGGAGTAAAACCGTCTTGAATGACTTCTCCCATACCACCCTGGTTGAGAACATACGGACCATTCGGGGACAAAATGTGTTGTCCGTGGTCCCTACGTTTCCAATCGATCGGTACTTGATAAACACCGAGGAACGCCTGGTGACCCTTCTCAGTTCTACACTGGACATGATGCTCAGTGACACAAAGGTAAAGGTGATGAGGGTGCGCCCTCTGAATGGGGAAAGCTGCTGCCACAGGTAAGCTGATACGCTGTTGACGACTGACGGTTGTAGCGACAACGACAGCGCACAGCCGCGTAGAAAGCTCACAACGAGCACACCGGTCCTTTTTTCGGAAGCTTTAAAAGGGCTCTGAATCAGGCATGGGTGAGGTTCCCTTCGTAGTGTCGTTCCTCAGTGACATGTAGAGTAGTTTCAAGCAAGAGCCTTAACTTGGCGTGCAACCATTCATCGGGGTGTGGTTGCATATGCGGAGTGAGAAAGCACGTGGATACTTTGAGCACGCTGACAGACAGATCAAGTTCTGGCGGCTGAACCTGTGTACCAAGGTCAATGCCTGCCGCAAGCTGTTCAGATGGGCAAGGGCCGTTTTCAGCGACTGTGTACAGAGCTGTCATTCTGTTGTCGTGCACCGTTTGTAAAATAACCTGGGCAGAAGCGTTGGGCTGAGCAACCAGCCCGGCGTGGATGAAGACGACTTTATGGTAGACCTTCTCGAGCCTCACTGTCGTCTCAAACCCACATTCATTGCACAATAACGCCGTCGCTGAATGTCGTTGCGGTTGTTTACTTTTGATGTTGTCGCCGCATTCAGCCAAGCCGTTCGGGTCGCGACCCAACCTTTCTGCTATATTTTGTTAAACTCTAAACCAATGGCGTGACAAACTTTGTGGTCCCATGCGGTCACCGTTTGGGCATGTCATAAAGCACAGAATTCCATTTACCTGAATGCCTGTGAAGTCCATGCCGTTGGCCGTCTGCTCTGGGTCTAGCTGGTCATGTTCCTTTTCTTCTTCAAACCTTTCGTACGCCCCCGCATCGTACTTGATGTGCTGCATACAAAGCGAACACCCCAACAGGGTAAAAAATCTTGCAGTTGGGATGTTCAGGCTCGTTGCGTCCCTTTTACTCGCAATCAACAGCTACTCAATTAATGCTAATATACCCCACGCCATGATCCAGAACCCAGGTCCAGAACGATAGTCACAAGCAATCATCCGCCGCCGTTTGACATGGCCAGGCAGCGAGAGGAACTCTCCGACTGCTCAACTCTACGGTACAATCATCTACCAGGCCATGTCACCCTTAAAACCTTAGCATGACCAGGAGAGGAGGACACCATTGCAATGTAGGTAAGCTGGTTTTCCGAGCAGCTAAACAAGACACAGCGTGGGGGTTATTTTAGCCATTGTCGTATATTCATCAGCAGGATTGTCGCCGTCTTATTTATTTGAGGCCCACATGAAAAGGTCAGCGAGGGTCTACTGTTAGGATAGTTTGCTATAGGGGGCAACACATCACACAATCGAACGCCGGGTGGTCTCAATCGATAGCAACAACATATGCATACATTCGAATTATTTCATGACTGTTATTTCTGTACCTGGAAAGTTGTCTCATTATCTTGCTCAATAATAGGTTTTTGATGCCATACCCCTGTTAGACAGTCAGACTACGTAGGATGTCCGAAGAAATATGTCACCACAGCTTCGGTGCAACTTTTACTTGAGTAGAGGAAGCGAAACCCACGAAAAACACGCACGCTCGGGGAAGCTCGTGTAGCCCAATATGCACCCAGATCGAAAAGAGCCAACGTCGGGGTTGTTAGGTGGAGTTCAATACGCAAGCGACCATGTAGAGGGGTACGCCTAGGCCAACAGACCGCGTAGGCATGGCCCTGTTCTCTGTTCCCTTGTGCTCTGGTAATTTCGCTCATGATCGGAATGGTTGCCTCTATGGCTTGAGACTATAGCATCGTAGGCTGTACGTCATACATACGTACTTTCGTTGACAAACCGCCCTACGACGTATGATCTGTAAACTAACCGGTTGTTCCATGTTGCAGTATTTCTGATACCCCTCCGTGGCACCCCTATGTGTGGTGCATGCTGGTGCTCGTGGATGTATGTCCTCCTCAGCAGTCAAGAAGTCTACTGCACTGACTGAATATGGGAGCACCCACCCAACATCAATATCACCTTTATCGTAGTGGAGGGTTCCAAGGGCTGGTGCTGGAGCCGATGGTGTGAATCGTCTAAGGTCGAGGTGCTGGTCACACCGATGTTCCCCGTCCCCGCGCCATGGGTCAAAGAGCATCGTGTGACAACAACGAGTTTGCATTCGCGTGTAGATCTAGTTTAGATGCTGCTGTAGGCGGAGCACTACATTCGTTGCAGAACAAAAATGGATGGCGTTGCGAATACTGATTGTTGACATCACAGTTCAACCATTACATTGCTGCGATGCTTTTACACTCCACGGTTGCGCTTCCCAAATTTCACGACGTGCAAAGAGCTGGGGATATTGGGGCATCTCTCATGCCTCATGTTCGTCCACGCTTCAAAGTGCATGTAAAAGCAAGTTGAAAATTGAAAACCGGCCTTAATCTGGCGGCAGTATTTTTTCCTTGCCTGGACTCTGAGTAGCATGCTTGTTACATACTTGGAGTAAGCACATGTACAGCTGTCCGATAGAAACTCGCCGCTTTACCTGCTGCAGTCTGTATCTCGAGCCCTTGAATCCCTTGCCCGCTTGGCACGCTTCGCAGCTGCCTTCATCTCGCCGCCGTTCAACCGTTTAAGAAAACAGCGGAGGGTCAGCCGAAGACTGCACGTACTCGAGAAAGCTGCGTCCCGGGACTTCTTTAAGGCATATCCACTCGTATTCGACAATGGCGCTTGCATTCGCTCATACACACGTACTCTTCGACGACCTATACTTCGCGCCACGAACAGGACCGTCGTCGTCGTCGATGTTAAGAAAAAGTAGTGCTACCCACGGTTTCATGTGTCGTTTCGCAAGGAGGGAGTTGGTGGGGGAGCTGCTGGCTTTGTAATTATTGTTCCCGTACGTTGACACCCCCCCCCGGACAATTTCTGAAAAACAGGACTGCGTGCCCTCCCGCCCCTGCACTGAGCCGGTCAACAACAAGGCTGTGTGCGCAGCCGAGCGAGAACACCCCATTAGGAGCGTCTGGCGGATCGCGTGAAACAGCTATGGATAGCTCGGATGGTGAGTTGCTGTTTTTGCGCTTGTTCCCTCCCTGCGTGACTGAGTCTATAGCCGATCTCCGTAGTCGTTGCTTGGCTGCTTCTGGGTGTTGTCCTCTCCGCGAGGTCATCGTACACTGCTGTAGTCGTTCGGTTGCTTGTTTGGGCACGAACGCTTGCTCTTAGAAGCAATGCCAGTGAAGCATGCCGAGGCCAGCTTCTATTCTTGGGGCCTGTTGGATGGTATCTGTAGGTCGCTCCAGGCATGCTGGGCTTGTTTATTGTTTACTCCTGCCCCTGTATACACACATGGTGCGGAGCTTCCCGCCCACACCGCTGGGTCGTCTATATAACAGAACTAGGCTGCCCCGTAACTCGCACAGGCTGGCTGCCATCTTCCAATAGGGTTTGTATCGTTCTTGTTTTGGCCCCCCCCGCTAGAGATAGGGTCTGGGTTGAGCTGTTGGTCGTGTTCCAGATCATAGCTAGCAAAGAGTGTTGGCGTGTGCTGAACATTCAAGGCGGACTAAAAGGCCGGGGCTCTGACCGTTCTGTAAATCCCGCTCTGCTTTACACGGGACACCTGTATCCGCGAGACCAGAGCGTGCAATCGAACCTCCCCTCAAATCCGTACAGTAGCATGCCAATGGCTGCGTGGTTATTCTCGTGGGACGTCTGGTGTCACTTGTGATGTTCGCACCGTTGATTTCCCTCCAAAGCGCCGTCGAAATGGATTAGACTGCTGTTGGAACATGTTGCGGTTGTGTCATGCCAGGCACCCTCAGAGTCGGTTGGGCAGGCCGGGGATGGGCACCCCCCTGCCCCCGTTAGAAACAACAACACCGGAAAGGCGACCGCTTGGAGAGAAGCCAATGGTTGCCGGGCTCTTACCTCGTTCGTTGTGGTCGAAACACCAATGCACCCTCCTTACCTAGCCTTTTTGTCACGGAGCCGCGCGACCCCCAAGGAGGAGGCACGAGTCGCACTCAGGGGTAGACCGCCGCCTCTAGTATGAGCAGCCGGGGAAGAACCACAGCTGCCGTTGGAGCTGTTTTATTGAAGCAGTGCTTGAGGCTTTGTCTCTGCCGCTATCGTAGACAAGAGTGTCTGCAGCATATGTCGACGGATACGCCTACTGCTGTACCGGGCAACGCCTTGGCCAATCAGATTGATCCGCTGCAAGCTGAGTCTCAGACGCTTGGTGTGGCCCCATGTCTCCGACTTCACGTGTACGCACCAACCCCAGCAGTAAAGGCAGCTGCACCTATCCTAAGTCTCATCCTCGGCGATCACAACATTAACATTCAATATTCGATATTGACTGATCGATAAGATTCACGAATATATCCTGGTCACGACCGGCGGCTTTGCATTAGACAGCCGTGCAGACACAGCAGCATCAGCAGTAAATAGCACGATGAGCTACATTTATCTTTCAACACCAAGATGAGTGGCCTCCGATTAACGTACTCATACACGAGTTAGTCAGTGTTTCAGCAGGTGTCAGATGTCCGCACGGCTGTCTAATGCAAAGCCGCCGGTCGTGACTAGGATTTACTCGTCAATCTTATCTATCACTAAAGTTCCCATTCAATACTGTAACCGCCTTTGGCCTGGATGGTGCAGGCTTCGCCTGATCAAGCGACGATCCATACAACCGGTAGCGAGGGTGGAGACAGCAGCAACTGCTCAATGTATCAAACCACTCATTCCGCAGAGGCGCACCGCAAGCTTTCGAGTACTTGGGTGGACTCAGCTGTCTGTCTCGTCTGGGGGAAAATATATTTCCTTTGTTGCGAAAATGATGTCTAGATTGTAGCAATAACGCACGCCTGCTGCTACTTTGAAGAATACTGAGAATATTGTGAAGGTTGTGTTTCCCTCAAGCGTGACCTTGCCAAACAGTTGTTTACCTGGTCGTGTGCTTCCTAATATTGTTCTGACCCCCTGCCCTCTTGCATACTGCTGCTGCTGCTGCTGCTGCTGCTACTGCTACTGCTGCGGATCATGCCGGTACTATGCTGCTGCTATCCTTGCGCTTGTGACACCGCAGAATCAGACGGCGACTTTGTCCCTGGGCAGGAGGAGTCTTCCAGGGGACGAGGTAGGCATGATACGGGCATGCCTTTTGCTGTTGTTTCTTGTGTGTTAGTGCTGCTGCTGCAGCTGCTGCAGCTGCTGCTGCTGCAGCTACAGTTCGTGAGCTTGTTTATTTATCATCCATCAGGATGGTGCTTCAGGACAAATGGTCGCCGCGCAAGGATTCGTGTGTAAAGTGAGTTACCCTTTTCCCCCTTTCCCGCTTGATCGACCGGCACCCAATACCTGCGCTTTTCCAGGGGGAGATAGCGATGGGGGAGGCGGGAGTGATGACAGTGGAGGTGGCGGCGAGGACCGTATGGATGACGACGACTTCTCGGGTGAGGCAGGCAGGCAACCTCTCGATGAGGGTGTGTCGAGGGTGTAGGGGGGAGGGTCCTGGGTTGTGAGTAGCCTTCGCCGATGCCTTCGCTGGGTTTTCCTCTTGAGTAAATATGTAGGATAAAGCATGCAATCGGGGGAAGCTGGGTTAAGGTTAGGGTTAGGGATAGGGTCTGCGTACCCCCTCCCTCTTCTATGCCTTCATATACTTACGTGTCTCGCGAAAGCGGTCTTGGGTTGTTCATTCGCTCGAGGCAGGACTGGTAAGAGAGGGTGTGGTGGGTAGTCAGGACATGTTTTCAAGGTGAAGGCACACCTCGTCAAAATGAGGAGAATTGTGCCTCGCCCGGTGAATGAGGACACAATGGGGTGGTCTCGTGAAACGCCGGGGGTCTTGTTTGGTGGATGTAACCGCCGTTTTGTTTGGTGGAAATAGGACGCATTGACTCAATCGCCTGTCTCTTCGCACACCAACGTTCCATAAAGACGGCACACGGGTACATGGTACAGTAAATGGATGATGCAGTCTTGGAACAGCCGCAAGTTTCTGACAGCATTCCAAGAGAAACAGCTAGCTCTCAAAGTGATGCCGTTGTGGTGTTTATTTGTATCGGCGTCATCGAAGACATCGAAGACACGAAGGGAGGATGACACCCACTGTGTGGATATTAAGATTGCATATTACTCGAGCTATCATGCATGGATCACTGTCGGGGCTTAATTGTTGGTTGACCGGCACATCCTCAGCGCTGTATGTTCCCCACTTTTTCAGGCTTGTTGCTTCTTCACTATCGACAACATCAGCAGCATTACACAATGTGCTTGCTTGAAGTTTGCATGATACCTTACAGCCTTCTTGCCCCACTACCACCCTCCCCCAAATTCCCTCCCCTAATCTTCGTGCTTGTAATTGTCTTCGTGCCATGGTGTGGGGATCGACGGGCACAGACGAAGGCAGCGACGACGATGACGAAGAGGGCAGCGTTCCCGCACCAAGAGGAGAGAAATCATCCTCATCCTCCCAAGGAAAAGCCAAAAAGAGGGACAAGGGCAAGAGCAGCAGCAGCAGCAAGAAGAAGAAGAAGAAGAAGAAGAAGAGGAGGAGCGGGAGCAGGGGGGGCGACGAAGACGGGGGCGGCAGCTCTAGCAAGAGGAAGAGGGGGGGCGGGGCGGCGGCTGCGAGCTTGTTCGATGATGAGGCGGAAGAGAGCGACGGTGGCGGCGGGGGCGGCAGCGATGACGACGACGAGGAGGCGAGTGTCTTCTCTCATTGGTGGAGGTTTGGTTTTGTGGATGCGGTAGAGGTCCCTATTAAGTGCCGCTTGTTTATGGCCGGTTGCCCTGTCAAAGGCCGGTGAGATCGCTTGCCACAGATGGATTTTTCAAGTGGTCTCCTGCTCTGAATAGTGCCGGGTGCCCGATATATCGCCGGCGTTTTCCCTTGGGATATGGCGGGCCTTTTCTGTGCTCTTGTTGATGTTCATCATTACATGGCGTATGCTGTAGCCCTCTCAACTATTCTCCAGTTGCCCCATGTCTTGTGCGGTGCATGATCTTTTTTTGTTGTGTTGGAGGCTGGGATGCTCCAGTTCAAGTGTACAAGTAGGGCTGGGAGTCTCGCTCACCTAGACTAGATGGTGGGGTCTGCCTGCACACGTGAAGGTGTCGTGGTGGGTCCTTGCCTTGTGCATTGCTGCATTGCTGCGTTGCTGCGTTGCTGCATTGCTGCGTAGCTGCATTGCTGCATTGCTGCATTGTACCCGTCGAGGTCTCAGGTACAGCAGTTACCAAGCTTGCGATGCAGTTGGATTAGGGCAAACGAGCACGTGCGTCTGTGTACATGTGGTGTGTTATGTCGTGCAACATGCCGGTGCGGGTACACCACCTCAGCGCGTGACTCCAGATATCCGTGGCATGTATAGACTGGTTTTGTGGTGATTTCGCTGGGTGCGTGCATTGCGATTCGTGAGTGCCAAATTTCGATGTTTGCACCGTTGACGAGGGAAAGGGGCGGCTGACCCTTCCCGCGATAGAACACAAAATTCAGCACGCACCGCAGGAGGAAGGTGGGGCATGAAAGAAAACGAAAAGCAAAAAGCCCTGGTAACTACCCCCTCCTTGTTGATATTGTACGAAAAATACACTGAAAAGTGTAGTATACGTCTCACCACGAAAAATGGTGGAACTGTCGCCATAGCAAGTATAGTAGGACGAAGACACAAACACACACACAACATGTCGATGATCCATATGCACCTTCTGATTGGCTACCACTTTTTTTTTTCAAACACCTCCGTCTGCATATTGCGTTTCTTTTTTTCGTGTTTTTTGTTTTTGTTTTTGCAGGAGGAGGATAACGAGTACCGTCTCGACGGTTTCGTCGTGGGAGATGAAGAGGTCGATTCGGATTCCGGCAAGAGGCGACGGAACAAGAGCAGTGCCAGTTCCAAGAGAAAACGCCTCCGTAAGGCTAGGGAAGAACACGGCATGGAAGCCGCGGACGACGAGGATCTCGAGCTTATTCGTGAGGCGCAGGGAGTCATGTACGTACCGTATCTTGTACTACACCTCAGTAGTATCGATCGAGAGCAGTAGTTGGGCACTGACAGAAGATGCCGTAGAAAATTGTGGCCATCGCAGGAACATATCGCGTTGTAGTTAGCACGACCAAGCTTGCGAGGGTGTTTTGTTTGCAGTAGATGTCCCTGTTTAGTGCCGGCAGTACAGCAGTATGTCCAGATGATTGATCGGCACTATACCGAACACAGCACTGTTCAAAGTAAATATAACTTGTGTGTTTCAGTGTGTGCCCGCCGAAAACACTACACCGGCAGTATGCCGGCAGGCGGCACTAAGCAGGGACCTATACTGTATCGTATTCTATCGTATGCCTATCGATCAAGAACATTGTTTGACTCTGACAGGAGATGCGGTACGATAGCAACGACAACGGGGACATAAAACAATCCCTTGCACCGCACCGAACGTGCGAGAGTGTTAAGTAAGGCATTTTTTGTGAGTTGCGTGGGACCGTCGTTTGCTGTTCATTGCGTGCGAGTACGCAAAGTTGTGGTGGGTTCTGTTCTGTTTTTGTTTCTATCTTCATCTCCTTTGCCCTTTCCTCTATGCGTTTGCTTGCCCGCTGTGTTCGTTCGTTTCCTTGCAGTCCAAGCCATAATCGAGAGTCGGACAGAAACGAGCTGGTTGCATCGGATGGCCAGGATTTGCGCAACCAGCTCTTCGACGGTGAAGGTATGGCATGCTTGACACATGCATCATTCGGGTCGTCTTCTTTTTTATTGCATTATCTTGTATGGCGTATTCTGTTTATGTATTGCTGCAATGTGCTTGTGATGTACTTAATCCCGGTGACACGCTACTCTCAAGGGAAAGCAGGCACCAGGAGAAATGATGCCAAATAAGGTTATGGTCACGAGTGTGCACGATCGATGGGTCGTGTTGGATGTCATGCGTGTGTTGAAAAATTGCAGAAGAGGAAGTGGCTCGTCGGCAAGAGCAGCGGCAGCAGCAGTATCACCAGAGACAGCGTCAGAGGCAGGAGCGAGACGAGTTCGACAGCGAGGACGACGGGGACTTCATCGTGGACGATCTGGGCACCGAGCGGAGGCAGGGGCGGAGGCAGCAGCACGAGAGGTACGCATCGGTACTGCTGTACAGCACAAAACAGTAGCAGCGACAAGAAGCAACAACAGCACCAGCACCAGCACCAGCACCAGCAAACGACAACAGCAGCAGCATTAACAATAAATAAAGCAACCATGGCAACCAGTTGTAGCAGTAGCATTTACGTTTCCCGGTTTATGGTTTGTGGTCCTGGAAGTGTCGGGAATGCGGTTCCCGGGCATGCTTGATACGTTCTTTGGGATACAGGCCCATAACGCCCCGCACTTCTCCTCTTGCCCTCGGTATATGGAAGACCTGTTTCTCCTGGCCTCCCACCAGGCTTGTGGCACAGGTATGATTCACCCTTTATATGCCCTCTAGCCTGTCTCCTGTTGTTGTTGCTAACGAGGGCCCCGACCTCTGACATGACATGTCAACAGTCAACTTCTCCCGCAGATTTTCATCATCTCATCCCGTCTCGCTGCTCGTCGTGGACATTCGTGTAAGAATAGCCCCGCCCCCGCACCTGTTTCATGTTTTTATTTCGTTTATTCCTGTATCGGGAAGCCTTCGATTGTTTTATGTTGGGACAAGAGTATTTAGGATCGTGTGCTCGTCTGAGCTGGCTTTGCTCCGGCTCTCCCTTTTGTGAAGTTGGGTGTCTATCTAATGCCTTGGAAATATTGGGGCACCGTGATTCATGGATGACGCATGTAGAGGCGTACGGCCGCACAGGGGGGAGTGAGGCCGATGGGTGATCCAATGGCTTGGGCAACCAGCGACAACAACCATCGCGTTAGTTTACTCAAGCTTAAGATTCCGACAGAGAAACCAACTTCTCTTCCCGAAAGCACCGATACGTTTTCCGGCACAAAACAAGAGCAACAAGCTGCCGACAATACCCCTCCCCATCCTCCGGTGTTTGCCATCGGGGTTGGGTTTTCGTCGCTCGGCAACGACGTTGTAAAACAAGCCAATTCACTTCGTGAACTCGGCAACCAGGTTACCGTTTGTTTTTTTTACGGCTGTTTTTTTGTTTGGCGGGAACCATCATGTTGGTCGAGTAGATCATGTTGTGCGGGGTCGAGAACCCTCACTCCGCGCAAGGGGGATGATCGCACCACGTTGTGTTGAAATGGCCAAGCACCCTCGAGGCAGTTACACGGTGCTTACAACTGTCTCTCGAAGTGAAAGCACGAGAAAGTAAATAAAGTCATAGGCAGCTGTCATCCGTATGCAAGGAAGTAAGCACAAGATGCCGAAAACCCTTAGCAGGATGCAGCGCACCCTTCATGCGACTCGCCGAATATCTCACGGCGCTTCGCGCTTGGTGATGTGAGAGCCTGGTCCGGTGAGAACCCGGCGTGCTCCGTCCCGGCTTTGTAGGGATGACAGGTCAATGGTCTAACGACTACGGCATGCACGGCTATGAGTCCCCCCCCCCCACTCCCCCCCCGAATATGGGTTTGTTCAGCTTCCAAGGGGGTCCGTTGGGCGCCAGCCAGGATCAAGTGTACGAGGCCATGGAGATCTTCGGAGAGGGCATCCAAGACTTCGATCTCTTCAAGGACGTCGATGGCGAAGACGAGGTGACTGTCACTAAAGTCGAGTCACTGGGTGATCATCACGTCATGACGTCATCACGTCATGGCGTCATCACGTCATGGCGTCACCGTGGTACGAGTAGTAGCCTCGTCGATTACCGTAGGCTCGATTAGAGGCCATTCCCTCGAGCATTGAAAAATGAAACAAAAGGCCATTTTTTTTCAAGCGGCCGGAGGCATGTGACGCCTGTTGCCTGTTGCTGATTAATTTGGTGTTGCAAATGTTTGCCTTGATAGGTTTTCAGGTCGGGACCACCAGAACAAACAGCTCACAACTAAGGATAAGGGTTGTCGTATCATAGGCAAGCACAAAGCCAATACTGGTACCAAGCCACACCTCCTTCCCGAAAGAAGACAAGCCCTTCGATAGATACATCTAGCTGTTGAAAGGAAAGTTGTTGACAGAGCGTTGGGACAAATATGTGTTCGTCCCATCCACCAGTTTTCACTTCTTGCGGTGTCCCATATAATTGGCATGTGCATGTCAGCGGTGCCAATTTTCTGGGTAAACGTTGTTTCTCTGATATGTTTCTCTGATCTATGTACCAACCAGGCCGATGGGAAGCAGCGCGCTAGCAAGGACGCCCGTAGGCAGGCTCTCGCCGGCATCGAACCGTCCCTCCTGAAGGAGAAGTTCTTGACGGACAGGGACAAGTTGATCCAGGAGACCGACCGGCCGGAGAGGCTGCAGCTCAGGATGCCGTCCAGAGGAGAGGCTAGGTGAGAGAGCAAAACAGAACATCATGAGAAGAACATGACATGAATGAGGAGAACGTCGAGATGAAATCATGGAGATGAGAACATCAAGGTAAGAACATCGACCTTGAGGACACCGAGATGTTCTACCCTTTCCCCCCAGACATGATCAGACGGTTTGTTGCAATAGGACCGTCAGTGCCCCTGCCCGTATGCATAGCTTCTCCCCCTCATCCCACCGCCGGTGTGTGTTGCGAATTTGGTTTTGCCTCCTCGTGTGTGCCATCTTGTTTTGGTTCTGTTCAATCGTTCCTTCTTTCTTTCCAGCGATGCTGAGCGGCAAGACGAGGCCCAGTGGATCTTCCACCAGCTCGACCTCGGCTTCGGAGTGGACGAACAGATGGCGAAGAGTGCGATCGAACACGTCCTGAGGT